GAAAAACCAAAAAAAAAAAAAAAAATGGGTTAATTTAAGATGAAAGCTCTAGCTAGCAAGAAGCCAAAGCCATAGGTTTGTAATTAATATAAGCCTCTACATATTTATTTTATAAGCAGCTGTGGGACCATGGGTGGAATAGATCGTCCGGACTCTTGGGCAAGGCAGGACTGGAGAAAATTCCATCTACATTTCTTAGTCAAAGAGGGAGATTTCATACCCCTTTCTTCTGTCCTTGACTCTAAAGCCAGAACCACGTGCCCAAAGCCGCCAGGCTCTGCTGCTTGCTGGGGCTGCAGCAGGACCCCCTCTTTCAAATACATTTTCACCCCCTTTCCGTTTTCAGTGCTTTCCTTCACCGCCTGAGTGTGGCTGTCCTGAAACTGGATCTGTAGACCAGGCTGGTCTCAAACTCAGAAATCTGTCTGCCTCTGCCTCAATAGTGCTAGTATTAAAGGTGTGCATCACCACCCCCAGCTCTAAACTTTTCTTTAATTCCTTTTCACAAGTTGGAAGCTTAGCTTGCTTAGATGGCCCTGAGGTCACCACTCACTTTTTTCCATTTAACATCAGGATTTCCTTTAATCTGTTTATCTCTTTGAACACAGGACTTAGCTCCATTCAACTTCCTGGTGCCCCCTTTCTCCTAAAACTGTACATTTTGTTTTTTCCTTGCTTGGTTTGCTCCTTTTCTTTATAGATCTGCATGAGACTGGACACTAATAACCACACAACAAAGTCCACACAAGACTGTTTTGAGATTTCCTCTGCCAGCTCAATTAATCCAAAACTCTTCAATTTAGCCTCAGACAGATTTTTCCAGAAAAGGCAGAAAGCAGCCAAATTCTTAGTCAAAACATCACAAGAATGGCTTCTAGGTCACATGCTTTTCCTATGAAACCTGTTAAGTCAGGCCCCCACAGTTCACATCACCCTCAGCACCACTGTCTTCCATGCTCCTACTAGGATGGCCCATTAAGTCCCACTTAAGCATTCAACTATTTTTTAAATTCAAAGTTCCAAAGTCCACATTCCTCCAAACAAAAGCATGAGGTCAGGCCTATCACAAAAACATCCCAGTTCCTGGTACCAACTTCTGTCTTGGTTAAGGTTTTTACTGCTATGAAGAGACACCATGACCATTGCAATTCTTTTTTTTTTTTTTTTTAAGTTTTTCAAGACAGGGTTTCTCTGTGTATCCATGGCTGTCCTGGAACTCACTCAGTAGACCAGGCTGACCTCAAACTCACAGAGATCCACCTGCCTCTGCCTCCCCAGTGCTGGGATTAAAGGTGTGCACCACAACTGCCCAGCTGTCCATGGCAACTCTTACAAATACAGTTCAGAGGTTTAGTCCATTATCATCATGGTGGGAAGCATGGTGGCATATAGGCAAACATGGTTCTGGAGAGGTAGCTGAGAGTTCTGCATCTGGATAGGCAGGCAGCAGGAAAAGAGTGAGACACTGGGTGTGGCTTGAGCATCTGAGACCTCCAACAATGCCACATCTCCAATAATGCCACATCCTATCAGCTTATGGGGGTCATTTTCATTCAAACCACCACACACATATATCTCACACTGCCCAGGTATCAAAGAAGAATCCTTCAAGCTCAATGTCTTGTGATTTCTTGAGTGTAAGCATCAACCACAGGCATCCTGAAGGCTCTAGTAGGCCCACATTGGTAAACATGGCTCTGGCAGGCCTTGCTCTCCCCCATTCCCTCTTCCCTCCTAAGCTGCTAGATTAGAGTTCTAAAGCTAGCCACCAAGGTCTATTCCCTTATTTAGCTACTTCTTTCTCCTGAGGTTGACCACCAAGGTCCAACTATCAAAGTACTGAAGTCCAGCAATCAAAAGCCCCTTTTGGCTCACCTAATTAACATGCTCAATTAAAACAAACCAACTCATCCTAACATGGAGTTTCCCCTTTTCCCTTTATAACTTGTCATTTTCCTATGGGCCACGTCTGTCTCCTCTCTATCCAGAAGCAGTCCTTTTTCCCTCGGGGCAAATATCCCTTCACTCCTCCCTTGTTCCCTTCCCCTTCTTTGTCCTCTGTCTTCTGTCATTGTCTCTTATTCCCTGCCTTTGTCCCTCTGGGGCAAATACATCTCCTTTGTGCTGAGAACTCGGCCTTGGGGTGTCTTCTCCCGACTCTGGTCCTTTCACATCCTTTCAACAAGGGTTCCCTTCACATCTGTTTCTCTGGACTCTCCGGGCAGTCTTTGCAGAGGCAGAGCACTTGCCCCCGTG